GAAAATAATTTTATGCTTGGGGGTCACCACAACATGAGGAACTATATTAAGGGGTTGTGGCATTAGGAAGGTTGAGAACCACTGCTCTAGAGAGTCAAATGCTCATAATTGTTTTGTAACTCTGAGGTTCTAGCAAGCAGAATATCTCCTGTCCCTCTCATGAGGATAAGGCATTACAAACAATTTCACTTGTCTCAGGGCAGACTAATAATGAGTAACAAAGCCCTTTGACTCTTGTAAGAATAAATGATCAACTAGGTCAGTGACACGAGAGCTCCAACGTGACAGAACCCAGTTTCTCCTGTTTAAGAGATAAGCCTGACTCATACCCCAGTGGTGTAATGGAAAGGGATGGCCTGGGAGTCAGGAGCTCTGAATCCTTCTCCCAGCTCTGCCAATGAGGTGCGCTGTGAACTTGGGTAAACCATTGCCCTTGTTTGGCCCCTAACCTGCACTTGCTAAAAGAGAGGGTTAGGCCGACTGGGTCCCAAGGTCCTTCAGCTTTCAATAGCTTGTCAATTTATGATATCCTGTGTCCTGCTTTCACAAATTGATAAGGAAAAGTGGGCAACTGGAAAAGACGGCTGCATTCCAGGTTCCAAATGGGGTCCATATGACACTCCCCACGTGATATGGGGGTGGTGTATGTGTGTGAGTTTACATGTATTTATTCACCTTTTTTTTTTTTAAAGAGTTTTATTGGGAATTGGGGGATGGGAACAGTGCTGGGGAATCGGGGAAAGGGGAACAGACAAGCTGCTATCCTTTTTGTTCTTCAGTCTAGTTGTGGAGGACATTGCTTCACTGGCCCAAGTTGGCACCATCATTGCGCTCTTCCTGGGCAAGGCACATCAATCACCGGCTTCTGGACGGCCGCTCACCGTGGCTGCTGGCTACACACAGTAGCCCATGGCAACCCACTGCAGCAGGGGCTGCAGCCTACGCCATCACGGGCGACTCACGGCAGCCCAGCTCCAGGTTGAGCTGTTGTTCAGCATCTTAGCTGTAGAGGGCAGTGTCACTGGCCCTCATATGTGGGAGCTGAACCAGGGCCCTCTGGCGTCCCAAGCCAGCTCTTAACCAACACGCCACTCAGCCGGCCCTATTCACCTTTTTATCTTCACGTCATTACACATCTCCCAACTTTTTACACTCATCCATTAGCTGCTGCTCTATCTTCCCTGAAGGAGACACAGCAATGAGCAATTCTACAACCACAATATCAGTTCTCACCCGGAAAATTCTGCCCACACTCCCAGTGGGGTTCACTTGGAAGTCCTGGCCTGCTGAGCCTTCAATTTGAATTCAGAGAAGCATCTTAATTGAGGGCACCTGCTATCTCGACAGCCCTCCCCTAGTGTTACACCTTGGGAGGAAATCTGAGTTTCCTCTTGTTGCCTTTGGAGACCAGGGCAAAGAAACCAAAATAACATCAGGACTGAAACTGATGAGTTTCAGAAAGGTACATGCAATACTGAGAATACTCTGAGCTCCCACAGACCTCTTTTCTTTTTTTATTTTCTTATTTTCAAGGCTCAACATTTTTATTGGAAGTCTTAAAAATGTTTAGAACTCTATATTCTCTTCATAACACATCAGTGATTAGCAACTGGTGTTTTACAAAGCCCTCCAGGTGATCCTGATGCATGCTTCCATTTGAGGACCAATGACTTAGATCAGGGTTTGACACACTTTTTATAAAGGGCCACATAATAAATGTTCTAGCTTTACAGTCTGTGTCACAACTACTCAACTCTGCCACCATGTCATGAAAGAAGCCATAGACGATATGTAAATGAATGAGCATGGCTGTGTTCCAGTAAACCTTTATTTACAAAAAAACAGGCAATGAGGTTTGAAAACTAGACACAGGTGGTGATTGCACAGCATCATGATTGTATTAAACACCCCCGAATAGTTCACTTTAAAATGGTTAGTTTTGTGGTACGTGAATTTCACCTCAATAAATTGTTTCTAAAAAACAACTCTCATTACCAGTATATTTTTATTAGCTGGAGGATTGGGTCAAAGGAAAGTGGTGACAATTGGCAAACACTGCTCCACAGAGGAGAGAAGGCATTCTTGGCTGTGGGGATGGGTACTTATGATATCTAAGGGTCAGGGTTTCCTTCTTGACTTTGACCACCCAGGAAGCTCTCCCCCTTAACACTCAATATGACCAATGGTGGCATGAAAGAGATTACGGTGAGCTAGTTCAACTTGGCTATCAGTTCTTCCAGCTCTGGCCGAGCTTTGAACCGTCCCTTGAAGTCTTCTTCAGTGTGCTGGAGGGAAGAAAAAATAAATGGGAATTACTGCAAACCTTTCAGTTACTCACATGTACAGCATCAAAAAAGGATCCATCAGCCAGCTTTGTAGAGAGTGAATCAGACTGAACTAACTTTTATTGAGTATTTACTTGTATTTGGTACCAAGGATTCAAAGCTGAATCGGATTTCCTGCCTGCCTTAAATGAACTTATAGTCTGGTGAGAGAAGACAGACTTATAAAGCATTAATGTCAAAATGCTATCAGTATCACAGTAGAAGCACTTAAAAAGAGAATGCCAAACATTTTTTACTGAATATATTCAGTCAGGCTACAGTCAAGCTTTGAAGATCCAGGCAACTTCTCTCTCAAGCACATTTCCTTATTTGTGTTCTGATAAGTTATACTGTACGTGACCTTAAACCACGCTCTTTCTGCTACAACTGCCTGAAGGGAGGGAATACTGGGGTGTAATGGGCTCACACCTAACATCAGGATGCTGTGATGGAATTCAGCTTGTGGTTGATAAAGCACCATCCCTGAACAGCCAGTAATACCAGCCTGTACACATTTCCTGATTAGTATCTGGGCTGAATTATCCACATTTGTTTGTTTCTCAAACCAGATGGTCTAGATGCTCTTAACTATATTTTGAGCACAGGTGGGCCACCAGGGGGACTCTTCTCAAACTGGCACCTACCTCCTTCACTGACAATTTGACTCCTTCAGGAAGATTGCTTTGGATTATTTCCAAGAAAATCTCTGCAAATGTAGCACTCAGACCGCTGACCTGCAAAAGGAAAGAAAGCGCTCTAAGAGAAGCACTGAAAGCTGGGTGACTGGGGAGACATGGCATGGGCTCAAATGTCAGCTCCAGCAGAGCTAGAGGTCCCTTGGGTGGAGGATTAATACCCAGAGCTGGTTTCAGAGCCCAGCCTCTACAGGATTTCTCTTGCTATCTGCCAAGGCGTCTGCTTGCTGAGATGGTCATGGACAATATTTGCTCCTGTAGGCAGTGGATGTCATAACTGGACCGAAGAGGTTACCAAGTCCAGGATGACTTTTTTATTCAACTCACGTTGACCCACATAGATCAGAACCGTTGTCTGACCTTGTGCTGAGAACCCAGAAGTGAATCAGATCTGAGGTAGAAGTACATGAAGGAGGCTGCAGAAATGCACTAGAGAAATACCTGCTTAATCAGGGGAGGTCAAAGAAAGTTTCCCAAAGAGGCAACATCTGGGTGGAGCCTTGAAAAACAGCAGTAAACTGGGAGAATTCAACAGTAATGGGTGTTTTCAAGGCAAAGGAAACTGTTAAGTAAAATGTGGAGGCATCACAGTACTAGGGACTTAAAACTAGTTCCATGTGTGGCTAGAATGAATGAGGTGTGAGAAGGAAAAGCAGGAGAATCATGAAGGTACTTAGGTGCTAATCTAAAGAGTTCAAACTTTATCCTATGGGCCTTGGTAGCAAGTTAGATCTGTCATAAGATGTATCTCAATTTATTTCTGATAATATTTAAAGAACCAAAAACTGTAAGTACTTCATTTTAAAAATTAACATAGGTTTACAGTGTTACTACATTAACATTCCTCTCATTACCTTGCTGATATATTTCTTAAGTGGACCAAAAGCGTTATGATGTCCATACATTGGAATATTATTTGGCAATAAAAAGGAATGAAGTACTGATAGATGCAACAACATGGATGAGCCTTGAAAACATGCTAAGTGAAAGAAGCCAGACATAAAAGTCCAGACATAAAAGAAGCCAGACAAAAAAGGAACTGTACAATTCCATTTAAATGAAATGTCCAGAAGAGGTAAAACCATAGAGGGAAAGTACATTAGTGGTTG